TCTTCAGTCTGAGAGTTTCAGGCAAAATTCAGGCTTTTATATCCTGCCTCCAGCTAAAGGTGACATAGATACTTTATTATTGTTTAGTATTTAAATACATGCCTGAGAAACACGTAATTTATTGGCCCTTTAAAAAACAGATTTTTTTATTAATCTGTAAAAATCTAATTGACACAAACATGTATTTAACAACTTAAATGTAAAAAAAGCTTGTTAAATGTGAAAACTTTCACATGAGGGAGAGTAAAATAATATTTGCACAGTTAAAAATAAATAAATGTTTGTTCTGATTGTTTCCTGGTTTATAAATGCTGTAAATGAATCAGTCCCTGAGGGTTTGAGCAGAACTCAGCAGTAAAACTTCACTGAGCTGAATTAATGAGGAAAGAGCAGCTCAGGCTGGAAGAGTTCAGAAAGAGAAATATTTAGAAAACAACGAGAGGAGAGGGCTCGGCTTGCTTTGTCTAACGAGCTGATTTGAGTAAAAACGTGACCTTCTTCACCAGCAGCAGAGCAGAAGCCCCTGCAGGAGGAAACAGAACCAGAACCCAGAAACACTTGGAACTGAAAATATTTGTCCTGGACCAGGATCTGACGTCCCAGATCTGACAACACGTTCAGGGTTCTCCGGTTCAGAAAAACCCACCTCTGAAGGTGTTCTCAATGAAGCCGTGTTTCGGAGGATCGACGATCCAGACCAGCAGGACGGAGCTGGACGGGTCCACGCCCGACACTGCGATGTGATTGGCTGAGAGCTGCACGCGACCGCCCTCCTGGACCTGGACAGAACCAAAGACAGGATGATGGTTTTTACCCATCATGCATCTGTCAGGACCGTCCGGCTTCAAAACCAGCCGTCGGGGAATGAAACTGAAACTTACCTGCACACCGCCGTGTACGGTGACCACCGGAGGCTGTCGGGGCGTGGAGGTGATGGTGATGGTGCACATCTGGTCGTCGAGGCGATTGTCGTCCGCGTCGTAAACAACGAAGTGGAAGACGTCGGTCACCGGCTGACTTCCTGTCTCTAACGAGGTCACGTACCTGAAGACGGATTTTAACACTTTAAACCAGCTCCATGTTTAAAGAATTTTACTTCTTTATTATGATTTATTTATTATTATTAAACGAAGACCCCAAACCCAGACCCAAACCAGTGGTTATTCCGTATGTTGTGGGTGTTTCGGAGAAACTGAGACGTTTATTTTCTAAACATGATGTCCCAGTGGCTTTCAAACCCCAAAACACATTACGGCAAAGGCTGGTTCACCCCAAAGATCCGGTGCCCCGGCACAAACAGAGCAATGTTGTATATGCTGTTAAGTGCCAGGAGGACTGCGACCAGTTATACATCGGGGAAACAAAGCAACCACTGTTCAAAAGAATGTCCCAACACAGACGAGCTACATCTAATGGCCAGAACTCTGCAGTTTTCACTCATTTACAGGCCAGCGGTCACTCTTTCAGAGATGAGGATGTTCTCATTCTTGATAGAGAGGAACGTTGGTTTGAGAGAGAAGTAAAAGAAGCCATTTTTGTGAAGAAAGACCGTCCATCATTAAACAGAGTTGGAGGCCTCCATTTTCAGTTGTCCCCCTACTACAGCGCTGCCATTGCCAGTATCACTCCACCCCCTGTTCACAATAGGTGTTAATTAAGTGTAAACGATAGCCATGTGATGTATCAGTCACATGGAGGCAGGGCTTAAAAGCCTGAATTTTGCCTGAAACTCTCAGACTGAAGAAGCCTCTTGGAGAAGAGACGAAACGTTTCATTAGAGAAGAACCCGTCCAGAAGACCTATACAGTTTTTTTCTTTTTGACTTCTTTATTACTTCTGCTCTGGAAAACAACAAAAATATACAAAATATACATGAAAAGGTGAATATTTCTGTCTTGAATCACCCAACGTGTCTCAGTGCTGCTCCTTACACTTTCTGTGTAAATATTGTTTTAAATCTAGAAGTAAAGGATCTTTTTTAATTTATCTCTGACATGAAAAACCAAACCAGTTCTAGTTTTTGCACAGTGGCTGTTTGTCACGTTTTATTCTGTTAGGACAGGATGCAGTATGAACGGTTAAACTCAAAGACTTTTGATGAATAGCTAAAAAAACTAGCCTGAAAATAGCAACAAAAAAGGAGCTGAAATTAGCACAAAGCAACAAGAAAAGCAGATGTTTGCTGAATTAAGCACTAAGAAGCTAAAAGTATCACAAAGTGTGAATTTAGCTGGAAAAATTTCCAGTTAGCTAAAAAAGTGAAAAACACAAAAAGCTGCAGAAAGAAGCACAAAAAGTTGAAATTAGCAGAAGAATTGCAGAAAAGTTCAAAATATCTAGAAATGCAGAAAAGAGCTAAAATCAGCAAAACAGAAGCCCAAGGAAGCTGAAATTAGCACAGAAAACAAAAGCAGATGTTTGTTGAATTAAGGTCTCGACACACGGGAGGCGACGTCGCTCGCTCTCCATTCATTTCCTATGGAGCCTGTGCGGTGAGGCGACAATCACTTGCCCTCCTCCAGTTCAGCGACCGGCGAAAATAGTGCATGTGAAATTTCACGCTCGTACACGTAGATGTGCACACGCGAGCTTGCGACGCAACATATGAAAGTTGAAAAATGTTCAACTTTTGTCGCTGTCGCTTAGCGTACAACCAATCAGCGAGGGTTTCATTGACTGACCAATGAGAGGAGAGTATGCTACACACTGCAGTTAGCTAACACTTTCACCAAGTGATTACTTGACGTTTATGGTAAGTTTTTCCTCATAAAACTGTATCTTGATGTGTGTTTGTTTTTCAATATCATTAGCATCGCAAGATTTGTTTAGTTTACACGTCCGTAATGCACACCCGCCTTCAGAGTCAAGAACCAATCAAATTTTGTGAAGACAAGCGACCTGAGAGCGCGATTCGCAACTCTGCGATCGCTATCGCGTCCCTTGTGTCGGGTTTCACCCTGGCTGCGATGACAGCCGTTAATCGCTGTAGTTTGTCGCTCCCCGTGTGTCGAGCCCTTTAAGGGGTAAAAAGCTAAAAGTATCATGAAAAGGTGAAATTAGTTGAAACAAGCTCCAATTGGCTAAAAAATACCTAAAAAACAGCTTCAAAGAAAAGAAAGCAACTGAAAGAATCATAAAAACTTAAAATAACAAAAAGAAGCTGAAAGAAGAACCAAAAAATAAATAAAAATTAACAGAAGAATTGCAGAAAAGGCCAAAATGTCTTAAAAAGCAGTAAAAAGCTAAAATCAGCAACATAGAAGCCGAAGGAAGCTGAAATTATCACTGAAAATAAGAAGAGCAGATGTTTGCTGAATTAGGCAATTAGAAGTTTAAACTATCGCAAAAAGGCGAATTTAGCTGAAAAAAGCTCTAATTAGCTGAAAAAAATAGCCCCCCATAAAAAGCTGAAATAAATTGAAATGAACTGAAAGAAGCATAAAAAACCAAAATAAGAAAAAGAAGCACAAAAAGTTAAAATTAACAAAAGAATTGCAGAAAAGGCCAACATGTCTAAAAAAGCAGAAAAAAGCTAAAATCAGAAACTCAGAAGCCGAAGGAAGCTGAAATTAGCACAGAAAACAAGAGCAGTTGTTTGCTGAATTAAGCAGTAAAAAGCTAAAAGTATCATGAAAGGTGAATTTAGCAGAAAAAGCTAAAAATACCTAAAAACAGAAAACAGCTGAAAAGAATAGAAAGCAACTGAAAGAAGCATAAATCCTAAAATAACAAAAAGAAGCCGAAAAAACCTCAAATTAGCTAAAAAAAAAAGCTAAAAAATCCAAAAACAGCTGAAATAAGGAGAGAGCTGAAAGAAACACAAAAAACTTTAAATTTGCAGAATTGCAGAAAAGATCAAAATGTCTAAAAATGCAAAAAAACCAAAAAGCTAAATCAGCAAAACAGAAGCTGAAGGGAGCTGAAATGATCAAAAAGAAGTGAAAAGGCAGGACTAGAACAAAAACTCAAATGTACAGAAAAGATTTTTGAACATTTTGAAGATTTTCTCCAACTCCATTCATTTTCAATGAGAAAAATCTGGTCAAAAAAGCTAAATTACTCAAAAAGTATAATTACTGAAGTAGCAAAAATCACAGTCTGAATGTCATCTTTGATTTATAAATTGTGAAAATAGGACAAAAATTACGGAACAAGTTAAGAGTTGAAAAATGTCCAGAAGAAAAACCTGATGTAAATAATGAGAATGTTTGATAAACTTCACACTGTGACTGATGTCGGCTGAAATGAAATGTTTGTTTCATCCAGTCGTATACGAAGCACGTTTTATCACCACTTCCAGGTAATCTCTGCTGTTCTTGGTGAGACCATCGAAAGGACTAAATTTATTTTGTTTAAGGAGGAGAAACCTTGAAATGAAGGAAAAAAGCACAGACACGAACAGAAGACCCTGAAACTAACGCTGGCATCACTTCCTCTGAAGGCTTCTCGTCTCACAGAGTGGAATCAAACCTCCCTCCGTTTTAAATAAACCTCTTTATGTCAGGCTCACAGATCATCGGAGTACATTAGGCCCATCAGAACCAGCCTCTTCAGTCTGTATAAGTTCTGTCAGGGAGTCATAATGATTAAATATAGATATTTTTCCACTGACAGGGTCTCTTCTGCTGAAACTAAAGGGTTCTAGAGGAGTTTTTGAAAGATTTTTACAGTTCAGAGTTGTGTTTGTGGTGTGTGAGCTACCTGATCTTGTGTGCGTTGATGTCCTCCATGGTGAAGGAGGAGTACTCTCCGAGCTTCTGGGGGTCCTGCTGGGACCGGCTCCGGGTCAGGGCTCCATACATCGGTACGGACACCAGCTGGAGGCGGATCTGATGGTCGGGGGAGGAGTCGTCCTGCTCGGCGGAACACAGCCGTCAATCAGTGCTTCTAACTACAGGGGTTAGACAATGAAACTGGAACCGCTGGTTTTAGACCACAATCATTTATTAGTACAGTGTAGGACCTCCGTTTGCAGCCAACACAGCATCAGTTCGTCCTGGGAATGACATATAGAAGTCCTGCCCAGTGGTCAGAGGGACGTTAAGCCATTCTTCTTGCAGGATAGTATCCAGGTCACTACCTGATGCTGGTGGAGGAAAACGTTTCCTGACTCGCTCCTCCAAAACACCCCAAGGTGGCTCAATAATATTTAGAACTGGTGACTGTGCAGGCCATGTTCAACTTCACTTTCATGTTCATCAAACCAATCGTTCTCCAGTCTTGCTGTGTGTATTGGTGCATCGTCATCCTGAGACACGACACCGCCTTCAGGGTAAAATCTTTGAACCATTGGATGAACATGGTCTTCCAGAATGGTTCGGTAGTCCTTGGCAGAGACGCGCCCATCCAGCACAAGTATTGGGCCAAGGGAATGCCATGATATGGCAGCCCAAACCATCACTGACCCACCCCCATGCTTCACTCTGAACATGCAACAGTTTGGATGATACGCTTCTTTAGGGCTTCTCCACACCGTAACTCTCCTGGATGTGGGGAAAACAGTAAAGGTGGACTCATCAGAGAACAATACATGCAGTGGTGGGCAGCGCTAATCCAAAAATTAGCTCCGCAATGTCTAAAGCGCTTATGAAAAATATTTAGGTCCGCAACCTCAAAAGCGCTTATGCCATAGAAAAACTATCGGAAGCTAATTTTAAAGCGCAAGTTCAATTTGACACTTACCATCTGGCAATAATTCATGTACATTATATGTACAACACTGCCAACTAGTGGTGTATGAACTTTTTTCAGTTTATTCCTACAACCGCCGATGGCTGGGGATGTGATTTCATGAAACAGACCTTTAGCTCCTGGTGTAAAAATTAAAAAGTTGATGAGGATTGCTAGTTAGGCTGCTTCTTAGTCTTTTTCTTTTGTTTGTTGTGGATTTTTCATTAAAGAAGCATCAATAAAGTCATTTTAAAACTGTTTACTGGAAAACTGAAGCGATGCATTCTGGGTACATGACGGATTTGATTTGTGACGGGAAACAAAAGCACGGAGGACAGGAAACTATCTTCCCTTCAAAATAAGAGGACCAACTTATTTTTTCTTTTTGACTTTTTCTACCTGGATTTTAAAGTTTTCCATGTAGTTGCTCCAGTTGACCACTAGATGTCAGTCTTCATCAGCATAACATCTTTAAATCATTTCTGCGTCTCTAACCCCGTTGCTTCGACCAATTACGTCACGTAATGAGCTTCAGCGTTTAAACTTTTTTTAAAAAGTTGCTCCGATTGTAAAGTAAAATAAATCAATACATACAAAATTTTAGTATGGATTACAAACGTTAACTGGTTTTGTTATTGCCTTCCTGCTACGTAAGCAGACACAAAGCATTGTGGGAAATCAGAACAGTGACCCAAAGCAACAGTCAGCAGGATGTATACCTTCACAATAATTGTTTTATATGGGAGGGGTGCTGTTGTAGATCACATGTGTTGTGATTCATTGACAGTCATACCTTCTGCTGTTCAAGATAATGATAACTGGTAGATAATTAGTTATTAGTGGTACTGCATTTTATTTTTAGAAAGCACAAATCTGCTTATGAATTATAAAAATTAGTAAGACCGCTAAAGCGCAAATGAAATATTTAGTCCGTAATTAGCGGATTTGCGCTTTAGCGGGCTGGTGCCCACCACTGGATACATGATTCACATCATCCACAGCCAAAGATCTGCGCTCTTTGCACCATTGAAACCAACGTTTGGCACGAGTGACCAAAGGTTTGGCTACAGCAGCCCAGCTGTGTATATTGACCCTGTGGAGCTCCTGACGGGCAGTTCTGGTGGAAACAGGAGAGTTGAGGAGCACATTTAATTCTGCCATGGTTTGATGTTTTTTGGATACAATCCAGGTTAGCACCCGAACATCCTTTCAGACAGCTTCCTCTTGCGTCCACAGTTAATCCTGTTGGATGTGGTTGGTCCTTCTTGATGGTTTGCTGACATTACCCTGGATACCGTGGCTCTTGATACATCACAAAGACTTGCTGTCTTGGTCACAGATGCACCAACAATTTGTCCTCTTTTGATGGTACATCACCATAATGTTGTGTGCATTGCAATATTTTGAGCCGAACTGTGTTCTTGTCCTGCTAATCGAACCTTCACGCTCTGTTCTTACTGGTGCAGTTAATGAAGACTGGTCACCAGTCTGGTCCAGTTTAACCATGAAACCTCCCACACTAACAGCTGTTTCAGTTTCATTGTCCAACCCTTGTCCATCACTCAGAATGCACCTGTGTTCACTCACGGTGTAGGCCAGGTGCGAGCGCCTGATGACGGTGCTGCTCCTCTCCCTCACTTCCAGGGACAGCGAGGCGGCCGGGTCCCGCCGCGGCCCGTCGCCCGCCCCGCCCAGCACCGACACCTGGACCGTGGCGGTGGCCATGGAGGCGCCGTCGCTGACCGAGAAGGACATGAAGTCGTCGTGGGCGGAGAGGCCGGCATGCTGGTAGAGCAGGACGCTGCGGGTCACGTCGCTGAAGGTGAACGTGTCGCCTGCGAAGAAACAAACCAAACCGTGAGTTTCAGCTGTAAAAAACACGAAGATGTTCTGAACTTGTTTGTTACCGGTGGTCATGCGCGCCTCGTCGTCGGTGCGGATCAGCTCTCCGTGGACGGGGACGTCCACCAGCTCGAACTCCAGCTCGTCCAGAGGCGTGTCGGCGTCGCTCACCGCCAGCTGCTGCCCGCCTGCACAAGCACAGAGGGTTCAGTTCTGAGGGTTCTGCAGCACCACGCCGGGACTTTTACTTGTGTTCCTGTGTTCTGGTACCGAGGGCGGCCCGTCCTCCCAGCTGGACCTCCAGCACCGGGTCCAGAACCTGAAACACCGGCGGCTGCTGGTGGGTCGAAGGCAGCAGGACGGCAAAGTCCAGCTCAGGGGTGGTGTGTTCACCGTCTGACACTGAAACACAAAAACACCAACAGAGGAGGATCGAGACGGAGAAACGCTTATTTAGGTTAAAAAACTATAAAAAAAACAACTAAACGGCTTTTAAAAATAAACAAAGATAAAAAATAATTACAGATAAAAACATCTTGTTCTTTTGGTTCTTTTGTTTATTTAATTTATTTCAATTATAAAATAAAACAATCACTATACAGTAAAAATATAATTATTGCTACCTTTGCTACTTTAAGTTAGCACTTAGGTAAATTTTGTTAGCCTTTTGATACATTTACTTTTTACTTTGTTGCTTTAAGCAAAAAATTTTCCTGTTAGCATTTTAGGGCTTTCAGTCATAATTTTAGTACTTTTAGCTAGTCTTTTAGTACTTTTAATTGGCGTTTTTGTAGGCTACTTTTAGTTAGCAATTTGTAACTTTTAGCTAGTCTTTTATGCCATTAGTTAGCCTTTTTTGCTACTTTTAGTAAATACATTGATCTGTACTACTGGATTGGACATCGCCTATTAGCCGTTATAGCTAGCACCACCACAGGAGCCATTACTGTTCACTGAGTCATGTCAACAAAACCGTACAGTTTCAATGTGGGACGAGCGTCAATCTGTGATGAAAACATTCTTAGCGCTCTTATTTCTTATCAGATTTCTATAAAATATGGCTTAAATTAAAGCTGTGAAAATTGGTGATGTATGTAAAATATATGTATTTTCCCAGGAGATAAATCTGTAAACAGTCTTAGGAACTTTTCGTTTTAGGTTTATGTTCATGCATTTAATATAGAAGCTCCTTTAGCCACATAAAACTAACTCATGTGAGTCATAGTATTCAGATTAAATTATAATTTAGATTTTCAGTTGAAATCTGAAACAACTGCCCTTAAAATAGAAAACTGAAGAATGGGCTCCACTATATATAAAGTATACATAATTCTAATTCTGTATTTATTTCTTGGTTCTTGATTTGCTCCGAAGTGACTGAAGACTAATTCTTCCAGCTGGTCATAAATAAATGCAGTCAGTCCCTCCACCACTTCGCTTGGGAAATGTACAGTGGAGGGAAAAAGTTATGGAGTTTTGTACTCTGAGACACTATATATATA